TTTTACCTGAAATGTTATGTAATTGGTTTGTGAATTGTTCTAAAAACTATGCAATTATGTTTTCAAGTTAAAAGTGTCCCTTATGCTCCGCATATTACAAAAGGGATAAAATATCTAAATATTTTATAAAAATGTGGAAATCATTTGACTGTATCAATTGCATAAGTTTTAAACTTGTTGAAATCCTTTTGTTTTAGTTCACAAAATCATTTGTGTTTGACTTGTATTCCCCCCTGAAAACGTTAAAAACCATAAAAGCGTAGGGGTATGAACTCACCGTTGGTTGCGTGGAATGTCGAACAATGAAACTGGAAATGAAGACCCTCGGGTTGATATACGCGGCATTCAACAGGATCCTAATCAACAATTAAATACATAATTGTACTTTATTAGCGAAACCATTTATTATAGTGTTGGAAAACACTTGTTATTGGTTTAGCAATGTTACCGAGACTCGATCGAGGTGGAAAAGTGGGTTTGCGGCCAAGATTCACGGTGTGAAGGAGTTTGCGGCCGTGAAGGAGGTTTACGGTCGTGAACTGTATACGGCCGTGAACAGCCTCTTGGAGGGTTTACGGCCGTGAACTGTGTTCTTGAAGGAATTATGAATTTTTGAAGGGTTTACGGCCGTAAACAGTTTGCGGTCTTTGAAGATTTGAAGGGTGTACGGCCGTAAACTCAAGAACAATGATGTTGAATTCGATGAAAAACGCATTTTAGATGTTCCAAAACAACCTCCAAAGGTGATTCTTGATGATTTTCGGAAGAAAAGAGGGTGTTTTTGGTGTTTACGGTTGAGAGGTTAGAGAGAGAATGAGGGAGTTTTCGGCAAGAAAAGTGTAAATGAGGGGTAGATGCTCATATTTATAGGGGTACCATGGTCGGTGGTGGGGGCCACCTGTCACTGGCCGTAAACGGGTGTACGGCCGTAAACAGGTTTACGGCCGTGAACATCACTCAGGCCGAAAACTTTTGATTTTTCAAAGAAAATTCGGGTTTTTCGCGCAATTTTGGTTCCGAATCGTATATAAAATTCAATTATATATAACTAAATGATTTTCCAAACCAAAGGAATTTGACGGAAACCCAATAAAATTCTAATTTTATTAACGGAAATCGGCTAACGGTAACAGAAAAAGGTTCGGGTTGTCACATAAACCGATAAAAAAAATAAATTGCAAACAATTTTTCTAACTTGAATAAGAGTTAGGAAACAAAAAAATAATTTTAAGTCTCAAAGATTCAATTTATTTTGATATTCAAAGTTTTGCAAAATCCGAAAAACCCTAAATACCTACTTTTATAAACCTTAACCTAAAAAATTATATGAAAATAATTATGAACCTTACAATATTAATTTAAAATAATTAAATTCAGGGAAATATAATCAAGGAAAATAAAATTTTAGGTCATTACCAATTACCCTTAATTTATAAGACAAAAATACAATTAAATCTTGTAAATGCACTAAGAATTTTTATAAAAACTAAAAGATGATTTTATAAAAATGATTAAGAGGCTATATTTATTCAAATTAAAGCTTTCAAAGCCTCTTAAAACCCTCTCTCCATGCAAAAGAGTCGGACCTCCTCCTCATTTCACTCTCATTCTTCAACACACATGCATCTCTTCTTTCTCTCTCTAGAAAACTTCTCTCCTACTTCTCTCTAGAAAATACGACGTTAGATACAGAATCCATTGGAGAGATTTTTCCCGTCGATAATTCATGAGTCTATATGCATCTCTGTATTTTGGTGGCCAGTTTTTCTGGAAAGAAACCCCAAAGAGATGACGAGAGATATTGGGTATCCAGAGAGATGGAATCTTTCTTTTCTCTCTTTTCCTCTCTCTACAACCCCCATTCCTTCTCTTCCTTTCACCCACAAAAATTTCCAGCAAAAACCACCATTTTGCATAAAAATATCCATCATCCATCAGGACTCATCAATGTAAAAACATCTAACTAAATCATGCATGCAAGTTTCTACTATTTTCTTATGATTTTATGTGCATATTACTTCAAAAACCAACTTCTACTTCTTCATCTTCTTCAAATTTGTTTTCTTTTGGTTAAAATAGTTTTTAGAACATCATGGGTGTGTTTTAACACAATGAATGTATGATAAACAAGGTTGCATGTTCATGATCTTAGTGCAAAAATCAATTTTAAGGATTAAACATCAAACTCAAGTTAAGAGTTTTTGAGAAACAAAATATTGTTCATAAATGCATGTATGCATTTTGATAAGTTTTAATCCTTTGATCTCTGGAAACATGACTATAATATGAGTTTATCATGATATCTTTAAAATATTTCAAAGGATTTACTCAAAGTAATGATGAAAACTCACTTTTCTAAACCAATCATCATACATGCAATCTGCCAGATTACTTCACCTGACTTTGAACTGCCATATCACACTCATTTCTTAACCAAAAATCGTGATTTTTTTCCTGAATTATAATGATATGAGTTAGCTTTCCAACCCAATTGGTCTTACTGCAAAACATTAAGATTTCGATTTTTAACAATTTTTACAACACTGTTGCTCAAACAGCATCTTTTTGTGAATACTATATTTATGTTGCATGTTCAATGGACTTATTCATCACTAAAAATCCTTCAAAAAATTATATTGAACACCTAACATCATAAAATCAAAGGTACAAAAAGTTATTGATTAAAAAGTCTTTGGAACATGCTGCAAAAATTCTCAAAATGACATCAATAACTTTTACCAAAATCACTAAAACCAAGTTCTCTATAATATATGGACCCTTTAGGCATGTTTTTCGACATACAAAATAAGAAAACGATTTTTCACTATTATTAAATTGTATGAAATTGTATGAAGATGCATTCTAGAAATTTTCAGCTCAATATATATTTTATTTATTTTTACATGAAAATAATAAGAAAATAGGTTGTTAAAGTATATAAAATACTTACACTAGAAAATAAATTCTGGGAAAATTCATGAAAGAACTATAATGTAAACCAACATCCCCCAAGAAGTTTGAGAAATTTTTATTACAATTTACCATTATTTTTTATTTTATTGTTATTAAGGAAAATAAATAACAAAAATTGGGTTCCAAGTTATAAAAATAACATTTATTATTTTTCGAAGCTTCTATATATTATATAAGCTTGAAAAAAAAATTTGATGAATTTTTCATAACCTTTTAGTATTTTTCCAAGATTTAATGTATATTACAAGAATTAAATTAGTGAAAAATAGTTAACCTTATCCAAAATTCATCAAAAGTTACCTTAAAATCTTTGCTTACATTATAACCATAAACAAATATTTTGAGGATTTATCTTAACTGATTACTATTTATTTCTAATTTCTTAGTATTAAACACACTTAAATTCTAAAAATTGGGATTTACTATTTAAAAATGACTTTAAATAATTTTCCAAGATTATGTTCACTGTAGAACAGTTACACAAAAATTATAAGAGTTTTTCATGATAATTTACTAATTTTCCATGATTTTATGATTATTCAAGGAATTAAAATGGTGAAAAATAGTTAGACAAATCAAACATTCAAGAAAATTTAGCTTAACATCTTTAACTTCACTTGAAACTGAAATACAAAGTTTGGGAAATTTTAGAACTAAATTGATTTAATTTTTGAATATTTAATCAATGGAACATCTCTTAATATGTTATATAACAATTAATTCATGGAAATTTAATTTTCACATAAAAATGTTTATAACTTATCAATATCAAAATTTTGACACATTATTGGCATAATTTTATTGTAGTAGTAAGTATACTAGTATTAGATTTCAATTAGAGACTCATTAGTGTGTAACATCATTGTAGGAATCGATAGTGGTATGAGTGGAGTGTAGTTCAAGGCACCATTTGTATTATCTCAAAGCATTGTGAGTATTCACGACTCCCCCTATTTTCGGTTTTAAATATTTTGGGGTGGAAAAGCTTGTCCTAAACTATTTATGTTCTTTGTATTTATTTTGACTCGTATCAAACTTGGTTCTTTTTTTATGTATGTGTATGTTACTTTAATTCATGAGGACTGTATCGCAGTTAAGTCTCTGGAATCATTTGACACAACTCATTAACTCATTTGAGCCCATGGTCATTATGGATAGCGCTATTAGGAGGTAGAAAACTCCTCACTCGTACGATTCGCTTGAGTGCATTTTACCATTTTATTCTCTATGTTTGCGATACACATAGTAGTCAATAGGCACGATTCCGTCATTAGGCTTGGGTAGTGAACTCATGAATGGAAACTTGATGCACATACGAATCTTACATCATATTTTAGCAATGAAACTTGTATACTCATTTAATCAACGAAACTTGTATACTCATTTTAGCGATGAAACTTGTATACTTAATTTATCAATGAAACTTGTATACTCATTTTAGCAACGAAACTTGTTTAATCGCTTTAGCAACGAACTTTATATCCCATGAGAATATGAACTTTGCATCTCATTTTGGCAACATACTTTATTTCTCATGATGACAACGAACTTTGTTTATGCAAACTTATTTACTCATTTTAGCAATGTACTTTTATTTATGGAAACTTCTATTACAACTTTGATTACGATTCATGAAACCAATATTATTTTTAACCTGTGAGTGCTCACCAACTATTTCGGTAGTTGACCGCTCATTTTACATGCTTTTTCATGAACTCGTCTATAAGATGACACTTAGGGACATATCAAATTTTAGGAGCATTCGCATGAGTTGTATTTCAATTTCATTGTAACTTCTTTTAAAATATGTTCAAACACATTGTAAATTGTAATACTTTTTAATACTATGGTTGGTGTTGTCTTTTAACTTTTGCTATGAGACCCTTTATATTGTCGCTTCCCGTGTTTCCGCTTTAGCGGGGTGTGACACCTTTTTTGCAAACTTAGCTGTTTGTGCAATGATTTTTGACATGTATGTATTTGCGTCACTCAATAGTATCTTTGTTACGTAATTCGTTTAACACACTTTATTGCTGTTTTGATTCTTTTGGCAACCCACATGTCCAATTTAATGTTTTATCTCCCATATATGTCTCCATATGACGCATGCAAAAAACTCCATAGTCAACATGATTATCCCTTGTGCGCCAATTCATGTTCACCCTTTCTAGTTCAACACCCTCCAAAATTAAAGCTGATTTGTGATTGACCCTCATCAAGTACCTACTAAAAAGTATTTTCTGCAAAAAAGAAATTGTCATTTTCTATAATTATTATTTTATTTAAATTATCAGTCTATTAATATTTATATTTAGAATGTAAATTTACTATTCTTACCAATTCATTAGGTGCATCACGATAAGCTCTTGAAAACTTTGTAACTGAATTCCTATTGTCAATGACATCAACTGCTGGTTCCTCTAAGTTTATGCAGATGATGTAAAAGTGATTTTTTTGATGAACTGGGAAAAACACCTTTTTTTAATATTTTAAATTGTTAAACTTTGTTTAAAAGATGTAATATATTCAGCAAAAAGAACAATTTATTACCAAGTGAACTTTTTCAAATGTCAGAAGTTCTTTGTCCTTTTTCATTGCATCTTTGATATTTGACTCAAATTTATCAGATCTTTCAATGAAAGGGATATTTTTGTCAAATATGAAGTGTCTCTGCAAAAAATTTAAATATACATCAAACTTTAAAGACTAAATTGTTAAATTCACAATAAGGTAAATTTTAAATTTAAAATTATTCACACTGTGAATTATAATAGGATTCATTGTGTGAATTTTATTAGTTATTTAGAACTATTGAAAATTTTATTTATTATATGATCAACAATATCATGATATATATTTTTTAATGAGCTTACCACCATTGATGTATCAAAGAAATACTGATTCACTGCAGAATTTGATTTAAGCTTTTCTTCATGGTTCAAAACATCAATCCAAGCATCAATGACATGTGCATGTATCCATAATCATGTCTGCATGGTTTCAATCATTCCTCTTCCAAGCACATAACCTCTCTTAGTTTGAAATACATTCTCACTTAATTTTGTAATAAAATAAAACAAAAAGGCAATAAATGGAAAATTAATTTATATTTGTATTTATATACTATTGTATTTAAAGAAAAGATAACATGAATTATTACCTGCTATTACCAATTCTAGAAAAAATTCTATCTGATACTTTTACTTCATCCGGATCTACAAATTTCGATGCACAAACCTTTTTTTGCTTATAAGAAGATACCTTCAGTGATGGTTTTTTTAATCTTTTTCCTACATCTCTTCTTCCCACGTGATGATCTTCAATTCCCAAGATATTATTGTCACATTCTGTTTCTTCTGAATCATAACTTTCTTCTTCATCAAAATTTTCATCTTTTCTTTCTTTCTTCTCTTGTTCATCTTCACTACTTTCATCTCCTTCTTGAAACTCTTGTGTTAGACCAAGACCACGTCCAAGTGAAAAACTAGGCATTGATGATTTTATAGTATTTTTTATCATCTATTATTGTTTTTTATTTATTTGTTCTCTACAAATTTTTACATTGACAAAATCATCATAATCATCAAAATTTAAAATACATTGAATAGAATCAGCAATCTCATGCACTATTGGATCATTGTACAAATTTCCTGGTGTTACCATGATTGGTTGATTCTTTATTTCATGTTCATTCAAATTCTCATCGCTTTTTTCTTCATCTTCATTCTCGTCACTTTTTGCATCATCTTCATTCATCACATTTGTTTCATCTTCATTTTGACTTTTATAAATGAATTCTTTTTCAAAGACTTTCTTCATATCTTTCAACTAATCGCTTTTTGTGAATTTTGTTGTTGAAAACTCAATTAACTTTCCAAACTTCATTTTATCATTCACTAGTTTTTTATAATTCTTTTTTGCTTTAAATAGCAATTCCTACAAAATAAAATAAAAAATGTCAATAATAATGATTTTTTTAACTTTTTCTGTGATAAATTATAGTTTCACAATATAAATGCATTGATGAGGTATCACACTTTTAATGCATTTTAATAAATTACATATTCACTATTTGAATTTATTATAGAAAAAGTAATAAAATAAACCTTTATATTCACAATGTGACTCACTTTATGAATTCATCTTAACTACAATTTTATAACATATATCTGTAATACAGCTTCATAATTTTTTTAATTATATAGATTATTAACTTACATCGAGTTTCATATTTTCATTTTCATCGGTGTCGGATTCTTCATCATTCTCTATAACATCATCATTCCATTCCAAAGTTCCAAAGTCACCACTCTTTAACTCAACTTTTTCCATTTTCACCATCATCTCATAATCCCAAAAATGTAGTGTATGTATTTGTATTTATTCACTCTTATCATTTCTCACAAACTCCAAATAAGCTAGTTGTTTATGTAAACAAAATTATGATTAATTAGTTTTCTTATAATAATATAAATAAAAGTGTTAATTATAAAAAAATTCCTTACCAATAATACAAGAAGTGGCCCACAATAGTAGTTTACTCTATCGGTTTCATCCCACGTCGTCTTAGACATTTTCAAGCAATTGGTTATAAAACCACACCAATAAATTTCTCTCATAGGTGTTTTGCCTAACAAATGTGGCAATACTATTATTTTACAAGTTACAGGCTTATTCTGTTCACAGATGGTATTAACAATCAGTAATAGAAAGTTTGTTCTGAAAATAATCCTTGAATATGATGATTCTTTAATCCTCTCTTGAACATCTAATGGTCTCATAGCCTTGAAATTATATTGTTGCTTCCAATCCATTAATTCTTTTCCTTCACATTGATCAGTGTTATATATATCTTTTCCACCTAGAGGAATTCCAAGCAAATCATGAACAAGAGTTGGTGTTATATCTATCTTTGCATTAGGTAGATGCATTTTCATATCTAATGGATTGAATGAATTCACAACAAAACGTTCCAATTTCCCAGAAATTCCATTGGTTGCAATTCTCAGCAACGATCCCAATCCCATTTCTCTAACACCTTTTTTTTCTGTTCTTTGTTTAAAGATTTAACGATATAATAAAACTTCTTTGGGCTCATTGTTGTTCTCAAAGATACTTTGTCATTTGGATTTATTGGCACTTTTTCCTTTTTATATTTGACTACTTCCAGAGTCTTTGTATTGACAATCTTCATTTTTATCTCTGCTTCATTTGTTTTTGTTTTTGTTTTTCCTGTTAGTCAATAATTTTCGTAAGCTTTTCATACTATAACATATATACTATAAAATAACTAACAATACAACAAATTCACATGTGAATTTGTTTTGAAAAATATAATATAATACATAAAATAAACATGTAAATTTGTTTATAACTTTGTAAATTAAACATGTGAATAGTAATAAAAAACCTATTGCTTTTTCATCAGATTCTTTCTTTACAAGGCTATCATCAGCTTTAATAGGAGTCACAGATTTTTTGTATTCAATCATTTTAAGTCTTGGACCCTGTCTGATTTCTGTTCATGTTTTAACAAAATTAATGAGAATTTATTTTATAATATCAATTTCAATTATAATTTTATAAATACTAACCTTGAGTTGTTTTCTTTTCAGGTGTCTTGAAAATAGATTTGTCTTGCTTCATCGACTTTTTTGTTTTTGTTTTTTGAAATCTTGGACTCTGTCTGATTTCTGTTCATTTTTAAAAAATAAAATTAATGATAATTGGTTTTATATATTAAAGTAAATTATAATTTTATAAATACTAGCCTTGTGTTGTTTTCTTTTCAAGTGTCTTCAAAACAGATTCATCTTGCTTCATCAATATTTTTGTTTGCTTTTTTTTTAATCATATCACCTTCTAAAGTTTTTTCTTTTTCAACGTTTTCATCACGAGTCTTTTCATCTTCATTTTTTCTTAATTTATTAACAATTTCCACCTCGGTTCTCCTTGCGGTGTTTTTCGTATATTTTTTTGAACCTTCAATTACACAATGTGAAATTTTTAATGTCAATGTCAAAAATATAAGTAATATTATGAAATAAATGTCAAAAAATATATAATTCAACTTGTGATGATCAAATTGCAAAAAAAAAATTAGAAATTCACATTGTAAATCTGTGAGAATGTGAGATATACATCGAATATTCACAATGTGAATCTTTACATTTCATACCAAAACAGTTTGAGGTTCACCAAGTGATGTACACATACACATGGTGAATCTTTTCACTTATTTTGTTCATAGTGAAAACAAACAAAAGTGTTAATCAACTTGCAATTTTTTTAAGAAATTCACATTATGAATCTGTGAGGCTATGAGTTACATCAAAGATTCACATTGTGAACTTATGCATTTCATACCAAAACAGTTTGAGGTATACCAAGTGATGTACACATACACATGATGAATCTTTTAACTTATTTTGTGCATAGTGAAAACAAGCGAAAGTGGTAATCACCTTGCAACTTTTTTTAAAGAGATTCACATTATAAATCTGTGAGAATGTGAGATATACATCGAAGATTCACAATGTGAATCTCTACGTTGTTGGGTTTTAGTATACTACAACATCCTATGGTGTACATACAACCCTAAATTCTTTGGATCTATGTTTTTCTCTAATTATACATGCAATATTGTTTCCAAAGCATTAAGCCTACGAATAGCATACAATTGACATATACAACATAAAAATGATTTATAGAATTACCTCTTTGTTATAGCTTGTAGTTTTGGCCTTTAAGAACTTAGTGCCTCAAATGTTGCACCTCAAACGGTTCACAACACACCTTGGACAAAGGAGAACTTGAGAGAGAGTTTCTTGGCTTCAAAATCTACTCTTATGAACTCCTAGAACCCATGTAGGCCGATTTTAGCTATAGGGCATCATATATATGTTCGATTAGTGTCTAAGTCCATAACTATATTTGGTATGTACTTGACCCGATTGGCATGGTCCATTTGGGTCGCATGGCATCATGCATTTGGATAGACTAAAATGAGAGAAATAATACTTAAGGTTTATTAATATATTATAAGTTCTAATATATTAATAAGATTATTTAATTAGTATTGATCAAGAGTTATTTTGGAATTAATTAAGTGATCAAAAGGAGACTAATTAAAATATATGGGTTGATTGTGCAAATCATCCATACTTGTATAGTGGGCTAATGCTCCATGGATTATCAAGTTGGGCTAAAACCCATAGGATGCTCCATGGTGTTTTTGTACCCATGGATCATGGAAATGAAAGGCCATGACAATTAGGGTTTACATGGTGTAACCCTAATTGTGACACACCATATAAGCATCTTATTATTCCCAAAAATCAGCCACTATGAAGGAATGGTGAGGGCTAGCCGATTTCATGAAGTGTCTCATTTCTCTCAAGTTATTCTAAGTGTATTTGGTGTTGTGTGAACCATTTGAGGTGTCACACTTGGGGCACTAGGCTCTTAAGCTCCATGGAATCAAGCTACAACAAAGAGGTATGTATTCTATCTAGTTTTGTTGTCCTAGTACATATGATTGTATGCTAGTTAGGATAATACCTTGGAATATTCATATTTCCATGTATAATAGAGAAAACATAGATCCAAGGTATTTAGTGTTGCATGTACACTTAGGAGTGTTAGAATGCTCAAAACGCAACAGTGGTATCAGAGCATAGGCTTGTTTTCTTGTTATACTTGCAAAATTGGCTGAAAAATCGAAGTTTGTTGCTGTCTGAACAGCAGACTCGCCGAGTCCATGACGGGACTCGACGAGTCCAAGGCTAAACTCATCCAACTCGCCGAGTTGGTTCATGCACTCGACGAGTTGGACCCCCAGACAGCGTATGTTCGACTGTTTTGGCTGGAATTGGACTAGGAACATTACCCTAAGCTGTTCTTCTACTTATAAACCTGTTTTTGATGTGGTAATGTCCATGCTAATCCAATTTCAAAGATAATTGTCAATAGATTCATGTTTTGTATTAGTTTAATGGTTAGGCTAATTACATCAAAAAGTTTAATTGAATTATCTTGTTCTTATGAGTTGCTTAGATTAATAGAAAAGTTATGTGAAATTGTTGTTTTTAATCCAAATTAATCTAAGAGTTGGTTCTAAAATGTGTTTTTGTAACTTGTACTCAAGTTATATGAAAAGTCACATTTAAGATTCATAAAACTCATAAATATTTCCATAGGTTATGGATAAAGAAAAGTCACATTCTTTTAATGGTTTAAAGTCTTCCATAACTTGTCCTCAAGTTATGGAACTTGAAGAGTTTTTTTTAATTAAAACTACTTTAAACTCATAAGTTATGGAATTGAATAGTCTTTGAATTGTTTCAAAACTTACCCTCAAGTTTTGGAATTTGTAAAGTTTTCCCCATGAATACTTTAATTCCAAGTTAAGCCCTTAGAGTTTTAAAAGTTAAAATTCAACCCTTATACTATTATTATAATTTTAATTATATAGATATGTATAAGATAAAGTCAATCTTACCATTAGTAGGCCTCATTCACGAAGTCGGTCTATAAGGGGGTATAAGGTTACTGCCTATAAAATGGCAGTTTAATGGGTGTCCACTCTCACCCACTGCTTCCTTGACTGGTGGAGGGTCGTTAGCCGAACGGGTAGGATAAGAACTATAATTCTCCCTTCATTAAAAGTATAATGATAAATACTAAGTAACTAAACACTTATAAATTCTCAATCTGAGTTACTTAGGAAAATGTGAATTGGTGCTAACCCTTGAAATTACACTTTGCACCTTTGTTAAGTCGTTAGTGGAGCGTGTGTGGTTAACCGACACACTAACATGGGACTGACAATGTGTGGCGAAGGGTAACTTAAGTTTATCATAGATTGGTGGAGCGTATGTTGTTAACCGGCAAATCAATTAGGTCATAAAGTTGAGGGTACCAAGTCAATTTGCATGGTTATTCACACCTTGTTTGTGATCCTCGACATCCCAGTCACAAACTTGAGAGGGCACAATCGAGATTCAAACATGCCATTGAAAGTTCAATGTATCTCAAAAGATCTAGGAGTTTCAAATCTAATTAAAACTTAATTATATTTCGTTTTCATGGTGGAAATTGGTAAATCGTCATTTACCTACCTTCAAATATTTTATAACTTGGATTACGACATCCCTCTTCCAATTATAAATAGTTTGTTGGGTCCTAGCCTTAATATTTCATATTGGGTGTTATATTAAGGACTTTCAATCAACTAACTTGAATTTCTCCCTCATAAATGTCTATTTCAGACAACTATGGTCTTCCCAAATCTTTAGGAACAAGCCTTCCTAATGAAGATGATATCCCACATG